CGTTATGGCGGGGAGGGGAGTCCCCACCCCCCTGAAGCGTCGACCATTTCTGAACAAATGTATCCTGTCTTGATTTTGCTATTTGAGGAAAAACTATTTTTCCCTCAAAATATTAGGCAAATTAATTCACCTTTTACTCAACAGTAAAAACAACAAGGAACAGATACCTGAAAAAATATTTTTTTATTGACAAGCAATAAGAGGAATTAATTTGGACACAAAACATAGGGAAGGGAGAAGAAAATTGCTTGGTTAATATCTCTATCTGGTAGAATGGGGATTGGAATTCATATTTTATACATTTAAATCTAAGTGTCGAAAAATTGGTGAGAAGAAAAATAGTATCTACAGCATATGGAATGGAAAAGGTGGCATTAGAGGAGTCTCATAGGTTATATGGCTATATAGGTTGATAGTGGAAATGGAGCATGAGAAAAAAATAGTAGTAACAGAAAAAAAGAGCTCTATAATTACTTATTCCACAAAAGATGAAATTTTAAAAACCTTAACTTCCTGTTTGCTTATTGAGGGTTGGAATGAGTTGCTGTGTGAGGTTGTTTTCTGGAATAAGGGATGGTCACCCTAGGTCTCTGAATCGTTTGTCTCCCATAACATCCTTTCATCATGCTGCTTTATTTCAGCAGCACAATTGCTAGAAATGGTTTCTTGTCCTTCTCAGATAGAAACACAAAAACTGGAGCATAAGCCCTAAAATATGTTTAAGAATGATTTAAAGCACACATAAACACAACTCTATCTTCCCCCAAATCCTCACACATGTACGAAAGGAAAATCTCAGTCAAACTTAATGTATCATATGGTCCTGACTAATTTCTGTAATCACTCTAAGCATTGCAACCTCCTTTTCAAAAACTTAAACACAGCCCCCCCAAACCAAAAGGTCTGAGATCCTCTGTTAATTTAATTTGACAGTCAAAATCTATGTTAGCCAAACATTCAGACTATATGGCCAGAATTGCAATAATATTGTACAAAAATACTCAAGAAAATTGTTTTATAGAAAGTGAGTTTAGCAACAATGATTGGGTGATTAAAGGAAAACTTGATCCATTATTAGGAATTCTGGAACCCAAACTTTTTGATTAAAAATAGAATAAAAACAGCCAGTTACAATTTTCCTAAGATTTTACTATGTTACTTTGCTGAGTTCTGTGTCTAATGTTGTTGATCTTGGTGTCAGATATCTGCACTACCCAAAGGTATAGTTTTTGCAGGCAGGCAGGCAGGCAGGAAGGAAGGAAGGAAGGAATTTGCAATTACGTTTTTGTCTGTTGTATGTTGATAAGCAGATGGTAGGCCTAGAGATGCTTTGTTAAGATATAAGCTGTTTTTAAACTAAGTAGAAGGATCTCTGTGAGGAGCAAAGCAACCAAAATAGGTCAAGAAAAGCAGCAGACATTCTGGCCTTGGTGTTGGGCATCAAAATAAATTATAGATTGTGGTAGGTATGTAGCACAAAGAAAAAATAAATCCTAGCTCAATCTTTAGTGAAAACAGTGAACAGAGAATTCTAATCATACAACAAATGAGCAGAAATGCAACAGTGCACCAAAATTTACAATCATTTATATTAAGTTATTGTTTTTTTAAAATTCCATTAACAGATAACACTGGAAAAATCAACAAAACATTCATCTGACCTATTTTCTTCTACTTGTATTTATAGCTGATTGCAGACATATCTATTATGTACATAAGCTGCAGTGACTTTTGACCTTTACAAACCTAAGTGGCTTTTTTCTGTTAGAAGGAAGCAAATCACTGAAACAGAGATATTGCTAACCACTTGTTTCCTTTTGAAATCTACTCCTACCAGTAGTGTTAAGCCACATACAATTCAAACTCTCAACTAACTCTCTTTTCTGAGAGTGGGGGCACTAATGGAAGGAGTAATCTTGCTTAACTATTTTTGTCTTTTATCATCCTATAACAACACCAAAACCATTCGCTGGAACCTTCTATCTTTGTAAACCATCAAGAACATCCATATGCTGATTCATACTTTGCTTTTATTCTTTAAACTCTCTTTTTCTTACCTCTCTCTTTCTCAGGATCTTGTCAATTCCATCCAATCTCATCTTTCTTTTCCTCTCAATCAGTTAACTTTTCCTTCATATATTTATTTTGTAATTCAATCTTCATTCACTCTCTCTATATGATCAAGCTACTCAGCATACTCCTTTTATACTGTTCACTTGCCTTTATATTCAGTCCTCATTCATTCATTCATTCATTCATTCATTCATTCATTCATTCATCATCCATTCATTCTTCATCCTGTTGCTTCTTGTTTTTCCATACACATTTCTTAAGTACCCTGTTCTCACTGCATTTAATTTTTAGTGTATCTTCTCATAGCCAGTGCTGACTTCTATATAAAAAGTGGCCAGAAACACCATCTTATACACAGCTGTTTTCACTTCTTTTGAAAACATTCATTCATTCACAGCAGACCACATACAGTCTAATACCTTTCTACTAGCATTTAAACTTCTTAAAACAGCTCCATTCATTTTCCATCTTCAGTAAACATTTTACAAAGATTCATATATTTGCTCTATTTTTTCAGCATTATTGTTCATTTCATTTTCCCTGTCAAACATAATTACCTTGATCTTTGATCCATATGTTACTCACTGCATCATACAATATCTAACATTTCCTGCAAATCATTTGGGTTCTCAGCCAATAACATGGCATTGCCTGCAAACAAGAGTATAAACACATTCATATCCCAAACATTTAATGTCACCACAAACATTCCCATAAGTGGATTAAACAGTCAAGGGGGCATCACACATCATTGTCTTATTCCCTGCTCAGTGTTGAATTATTCACTGAACGTTCCATTTATTCTCACACACATACTTTTCTTTCATCATGTACCAATCTTATTATATTCAGGAACCAACCTTTATGGGAAAAGCATAACACCAAATAAGAATGTATACCATATCAGGAGATAAAAATCATGAAAAGCATCCTTTCAAGTTCCTAAAGTACAAAATATTAGAAAGGTAGTAGTGGCCTTTATCTTATACAATTAAATAAAACTTTCCATACAGTCCCAGTACTGATGGTTTTGAACATCTGTGAACCAGCAGAGGAGATGTACAGTGATAGCCTGCTGCATTCAGTAATGAATCATGTTTATAAGTAATCCGTAGAAGCAAGGACAGATACCTGTATTGGCAGAGTTTGTCCTACTATAGCAGATTCTCTATGCTGCCCCCTCATTCCATTCCATTTCATGTACTGTGACTGTATTCTGATATTCCATCCAAATGCTGTAGGATGAGTTGGGAAATAACACTGAGCAGTATGGGATGGAATGAATACCTTTACTAGAAATTGCATCCACTGAGGTACAATATTGCATCCTAGCTGCTATCTCAGATAAGCACAAGTATATCTATAGATTGCTAAGAAGAAAAAAATAGTACTATATACAGAATGATTGAACTATGTTCCATCATTGTATTTGATGCATGCAAGAGATACTCTAATGAACACTAGTGTAACTAGTTCCTTGTTCCTTACAAGTTTGAAAGATAGTGCTTTTGGTTTTTTATTGGTTTCTAAAAATTCTTAAGCCAATAGATCATTTGGCAGAAGATCATTGTCATCTTTTGACCCCTTATGCTTGATTTATCACATCACTATACTTAACTTGGAACTTTTGGCAGTCTTATTAGCTGGAGCATCTAGATCACATTTATCTCATGGAGAAATCTTTTCTTGACTGGAGTAGCTTCAGATCAGTAATATATAAGAGACTATAACATTCCTGGTGATATTGTGGTTCCAAGTGAAATGCCAGACCTATTTGACATGGCAACAGAGATTTGAAGTTAGCATATCAGCGTATCATATGAGGCATAAGTCTGTTCCCAAATGATAACAGAACTATATCAGGGAGGAGATAGTAGATCCTAAATTATTTTGGTTACTAGAAGTAGTTAAGGAAACAGATTATGGAGATAACATTACTCTATGGAATGTCTGTATGCAACTATGCCCCTTCTTCCAACATGAGACACTCATCATAGTCTTGCCTATGTCAACCAATCATTACCTAATGCTTTGACACAAATCTCAAAGAATGG